TTGTCATACACAAGACACCACAAAAGATGCGAGATGCAACATAAAAGATACTCGTTTAGCATGTTGACGTAGAAAAACAATGGAAAAGTAGCACAATGGAATGGATAAACACGTTCTGTGTAAACAGCTAGTCTAGTTTTGAACCTATCTTCATTTTGCAGATTCCTCAGAAGTGGTCCTGGACCCTTCCACTGCCCATCCCAAGCTGATTATTTCATCTGAAGGGGACTGTGCCACTTTCACAGATGTATGGCAAGATGTCCCTGAGCATGAGGGACGTTTTGACACCACCCTTAACGTCTTGAGCATCCAGTGCTGGGATTCTGGTCACCATTACTGGGAGGTAGATGTGAGTGGAAAGATCTATTGGGAACTGGGTCTCACCTACCCATCCATCTCAAGAAAAGGTCAAAAGGAGGAGTGCTGGTTGGGCCGGCATGCTGAATCTTGGTGTCTGGAGTACTTTGATGGAGACTACAATGCCTGGCATGGAGGTACTGCTCATCCTTTGCCCATTTCCACCTGCTTCCATCGGATAGGGATCTTCTGCAGCTTTCCTGGAGGTCTGGTGACATTTTTAGGGGTGGATACCATGACACCACTGTACTCATTCTGTGCTGGGACATTTACAGACTCTCTACACATGGCTCTTTGTCCTGGTCATGATCTTCAGGGGACAAACTCAAAGCCTATTAAGATATGTTGATCCTAATCATCTTTGAAACTCATACTTAAATGCATATTGTAGCATTTAGAAGATAAAGAAGGCCTAGCACAGGTTTGTTTGATTTCACTCTGACTTTGTGTAGATTAGATTTGTTAGTTTGTATTTCCAGATGTAAAAAAAAAAAGTTATGAACAATATTACATTTATTTGTAGCGCAGCAATTGATTCAACTGCACTGCAAACCTTCAATGTGATTTCATTCATCAGCAATTAGAAGAATCAGCACTTCAAAATGGTAGAATAATAGATATGCAAATACATATGTACACTACCTTTCAAAACTATTAGATCATCAAGAACTTTTAATGTTTTTGAAAGAACACTCTTATGCTCACCAAGGCTACATTTATTTGACAAAAAATACAGTAAAACATTGATATTGTGAAATATTATTACAATTTAAAACATGAGTTTTCTATTTTAATAAATTTTAAAATGCATTTTATTCCTGTGATGGCAAATTTGAGTTTCAGCATCATTACTCCAGTCTTCAGTGTCACATGATCCTTCAGAAATATTTTTTTTTATTATTATCAATGTTGTAAACAGTTGTACTGTTTAATATTGTGGGGAAACAGAGACACATTTATTTCAGAAGTCTTTCAGAAACTCTGCAATGCGCATATGTACAAAGCATTGCTGGTAGATCAGAGTACACAACAGAATCTTTCATAGACATGCTACTGTGTCCCACCAATTTTTTCATTGATCCAATCCAAATATTTAAGGACTCTGGTATAGACACCAGGCTCGTTCTTCTCCCCACAGCTGTCTCCCCAGCTCACTATACCATAGATATAGTGTGTTTGATTTCTCTCACAGGTTAAAGGCCCACCAGAGTCACCCTGTCAGAAAGAGAGTTGAATGTTAATATCATTGTTACAGCAGCACCATCTGCTTTTAATAGTAGTAAACAACATTATACAGTTAAAATGATGACACACCTGACAGGAGTCCACTCCTCCCTTAAGATAGCCAGCGCAAAACATGCCATCATCCAGCAAAGAAGAATATACTTTATTGCTTGAACAAACCTCCTGAGAAATCAGCAAAACCTGTGCATCAAGCAAATGCACAGAGCCATGCTCTGCTACAGACAGGAAAGAAAAGAGAACAAATTCAGTCCTTTCATAGATGAACCATCAACACAAATTCAGAAGTAGACATATGGATACATACACGTCTCTGTGGCTCCCCACCCAGAAATACTGCATTCTGTTCCATCTGTAAAAGGTTCTTTGGGCAAGCAGGCGGCCTTCACAAACTGAGTTTCCTTCGCACATTTTCCATTAGTAGCTTTCAGTTTTAATAGAGCTGCACCACAAGAAAGAATAGAAAATAAGTATAGACTTGAAGTAATTTGCTGAGCTTGAAGGATTTTTTTATTACCAAACAGCCAGATTAACTGCATGGAATATCAACAATAATGTGAACTATATTAACATTTTATTTTAAAGTTCTTGTTCCCTTGTCCTTGTCTGTGCTTTTTGATCATTTTCTGATTTTATCCAGGGGTTTCTCCTGTCTTGTGTTTTTCTGGACATTTTGCTGAAATCCTACACCAGAGCTTTTAGATAAATTGTTTCCTTTGATGTGATGCTAACAATACATAATGAGTATTATCTGATCAGTTGTACGCTACTTAATGGCAGTGCATTATGGGATTGAATGAGTACACTACATAATTTCCACTACAAATGGCTAACACTCAAAATAGTGCACAATAATATAAGGTGATGGGGTCAATTTTGGCCACAGCTATGAAAAAGAAAGATGCACTTTAAAATGAAAGCCTGATGAGATTAAGAAGAGAAAACACTAGAATCCAATTCCAAACAAAAATAAATGTAAAAAAGCCTGAATATAATTAGAATCCTGTTTGTGCAAATAAATGTCTACATTGCTCACCAATATCATTGTAGACGACGTCAGGGGTTTCCTTAAACTTCTCATGGATGATAGTGTCCTCCACCAGTACAGTCTGATCTGTTTGCTCCTTTTGTATCAGATTTAGTCCTCCCAATATAACTCTGTAGTCATGCTTTTTATCACTGTACACACATCAAAAGAAAATAAAACCAAGCTATGGTTAATTTTAGTTTTAATGTGAAAATATATTGTTAGGAGACTTTTTTCCAGATTATTAGCAGCAAAGAAACATGGAAGAATATTGAAATAATACAGATACGAAGTCAAATTTAATAGTAAAAACTCAAATTCATTTAGTTAAATGTGGTGAAATATAATCTGAACCTGTTAACAGTGATCATGGATTGAAAAAGCAATGTCGTGATGGGTTTACACAATCCTCACCTAATGTGTGATTTAGCGAAA